ACGCGGTATGCGTTTCCAGCCCAAGTACCTAGCGTGCACAATTTAAAAAATACTATGAGGTGAAAAAAAAATCCACATTTGTCTCATCGTGCTAGCTTTCTCAAGCCTCCATGTCGTAGCACCCTTCACGAAACTGCGGCTGGCGCCTGTACTAATGCGAACATTATTTATTTTGATTACCCTCAGGGCACATAAAGGCGTTATTGAGGGGGTGGGTAATACAACAAAAAATGCAGTAAAAATAGAACATAAAAATAGAAGTCAGTGGGAATACATGTTTGCCAACAAAAAGTTATTTAGGGCGCATAACATAATCTGTCAGTGCAGTTTTGAATGATGATGCGTCTTTAATAAAGGAGATGGAGGAGGGAAGATGGTTCCACTTGGCACTGGTTTTTGGCAGAAAGGAGTCGGAAAAAACATTAGTGCGACAGAGAGGAGTGAAAACTTTACGCTCATGATCAAGACGTGACGATATGTACGACGGCTGTGATATGAGCTCCTGTTTAATTGAATTGTTCAAGTCAAAAATTTTTTGGAAAAGGCATTGATGAGAAATTTTTCTTCTAAGCTGCAAGTCAAGTAGTCCGAGATCTGATTTCATTAATGAAACGCTAGCTGTGTGGGAATAGTTTGACATAATAAAACGTGCTGATTGATTTTGAATGGACTCAATAATGATTTTTAATGTTTTTAGACCGAGGTCACAAACAGAAGACACGTACTCGAGTTCAGGTCTAATGAGTGTTTTGTAAAGTAGCAATATTAAATGGCATGGGGCATTAGAAAAATTTTTGCGTATGTACCCGAGTGATTTATCGGCATTGTTAGTGATGTATTGAATGTGTGTGCCAAGAAAGGTTATTCTTTATGTGAATCCAAGATACTTATACGAGGTTATGTATTCAAGGTTGATGTTATTAATAGCATAACTGAGAGGAATGGATGCATCATAGCGACGTGAAACAGTCAATCGTGCCTTTCGTGGGTTTTAATACCATTAGCCATTGTGAGCACCACTTTGACATGTTATCTAGATCGAACTGAAGAATGAGGTTATCATGCAGACTAGTCATTTCATGGTATACGACACAATCGTCAGCGAAAAGTTTATTAGAACTATTAATAACGGTAGGTAAGTCATTAATATATATTAGAAATAGCAAGGGACCCAAAACAGAGCCTAGAGGAAAGCCAGACTTTACACCACAGTAGGAGGGTACGGCACCATTAGCAGTTGCGAATTGAGTATGGTTAGTTAGAAAACATTCTATCCACTTCAAGATGTTAGGGTCAATATCAAGAGTACTGAGTTTAAGAAGTAGTAAGCGGTGAGACACCTTGTCAAAAGCCTTAGCAAAGCCTAAAAAATATTGTCAATAACCTGTCCTTTATCTAAGGAGGATGAAATGTTATGCATAAACAATACAAGTTGTGTTTCGCAGAAATAGTTCCTGCGAAAGCCATGCTGAAATGAAGTGAAAAATGCGATAACTGACGCGCTCTCCGTCACGGCAGGCGGAGAGTGTCCCCACCAAAAATATTTTTCTTACACCCTGGCTGAGAATTATACCTATACCCTCATGCTAAAGGGTAAAATTATAGCTCTTAAGTTTCCACTGGATGTCTCCAGCTTCTGAACATTGATTTATTTATGGAGCAGAACATCCCAATGCTCCTCTGATGATATGAGATATGGCACACCGGAAAGCTGCAGATCAGCCAGATTAACATCTGTTACCTGAAGTTCTGTGATGCTCACCTATAATTAAAAAACTTGAGTGTTTCTGCATTTGGCCTCACTTCATATGTTGCCTTCAGCACTGAAAATACAACCCACAACCTAATACTGAAAAGTGGAATGTGATAGCCACAGAACCACTGTGATGAGTACCAAATGAAGGGAATGATCGGGGCTTGTTTCTTTGCTTAACACAACCCTAATAACAACCAGCATATAGCTAATCCAAGAGAAGTACAGGGGATGTTAATTGTATTGCTCTAAGTGTATTGTACCTGTGATACAAATGTGAAGAAAGTAAGGTGCTAGAGCAGACAACTTGCCACTGGGAAGGAGCCCACCTGCAACCTTTGATTAACGCATCTGATGCTCCTATATTAATTGAGCTAGGTGGTGGTTATTCCCTCATCTACTTATCGGGTATTTATGTACTACATGCAAACCTGGGAGCATTAGTCAAGGCCGCTCACAGCCATGACGGTGAAAGGGGGAACACTCTTTGCCAGAGGCATTACATAGCACATGAACTTTTAAAGAGTGCACAGCTGACCAATAAGTCCTCGCATACTACTTGGAGGCATAAATTCTGCGGGAACAAGATCATCGTAATGAATGAAGGAAGAAAGGGAAATTTGAGGGTACGGTATGTTTTTTTTTTGTTTAACGCAACTTCAATAAAAAGTAGCAGATAATGAAGCCAAGAAAATTGCTGGGGACGTTAATTGCACTTTTTGAAGTGAATTGTAGTAATTGTTAAACAGACGTGAAGAAAGGGAAGTGGGTGAATAGAAAATCTGCTGCTGGCGGGGAACAAACTTACTACCTTTGAAGCACTACTGATATCTGAACATGAAGCCAATGGGAGGACAGCCTAAGAGCACGAGAAAGTGTACTTACAGACTGCGTGAATGTCTCGCCATTGTGAACCAGGGCTGGCACTTGCTCCATGGGGTTCACCTTCATATATTCTGCAGAGTGCTAGAAAATGGAAATGGTTAGGTTAGGGAAAATGAAGTTCAAGAGAGTTGTTTGTTGGGCAAGTTGGTGCATGGTTACACTAGAACAAAGCCACCAAAACACAGAAATACATTGCAAGCAGTGCGGTTGCACACTCACATTTGTGAATGTATCAACAGTAAGGCTAGGACACAGCATGAAAGATAACCGATATAGGCATACAACCTTCGAAAACTTACTGCTGAAAAATGTTTAAAGGCGCATTCACAATGAGCGCAGATCCGGAAAGAAAACACCGATTATCTTTGAAAGCAGGAAACCTGCGGGGCTTTGGCTGAATCATGCCCTGATGAATTTTCTCTCCACACTAAAGTTGGCCCCTTTGGCCACAGCCAATCAGGGCGTGAAACAGGTATGTTCAGTATCGCAAAGTACTGCAGTATTCCGTAGAACAGCAAGATGGCAACATGTCCACCATGGATAGATGGATCGCAGCGAAGCGGGCAGTGTGGTCGGTCGGCATTTAATTACATGACAAGTGGTGAAGGTTTGTGCGGCCGCACAGCCCACAAGGTGTGCGCGTGGCTGTCACAATATTGGGTTCTAGCCATTTCAGTCTCCAAAAGAGTGTACTGCATAGGCAGAATTAGTGAAGACCTTATCAGCAAATACCTCTGGAAAGCATGAAGGGGAGACTTGTGCGAAAAGAGGACCAGCCAACTCGGCAAGTGCACGTCATCATTAGAAAAATTTTCTAAGAAAACTTTTAAATTCACAAGCCAGTTCCACTTTTCTTTCTCTCTTTCATTTTCTTTTTCCTGCAGTAGCAGCAACAATATCTGCACTTCTGGTATCCGTGCATATGCTGTTGAATATGACCATGATAAGCAATCAGTCAAACATTACTTCGTACACCGGGGCATGAGAATGAAACCACCTGCAGATCTTTGTGCGCATCGAAGTCGCATTGCAGTGCTGGAGGGTCAAGCACCGATATAATGCAACACACGCTCACCTGCTCGCCGCCATCCTTGATAAGGTTGACGGCTTTGTACTCGTAGTCAACGTTTTTCCATGCCAGGGCTGAAAATTAAGTGGTGTTCAGCACATGAGTAACATGAAGTCGTGCTTAATTGATCAGCATACATGCGTAAGATGTCACTGCACTGAACGAAAATTTTACTATGACAGATTGCTGGTTAATGAGAGCATAAGCTGCACGTACCGATGCGAACTCTGTAGGCACATGAGCTCCTGAAATAGGAGTAGAGGACCGGCTGGAAAGAAAACGATCGACAATCACGCACCGATAAGACCGCGCTCCTAACGTTCTGGCTTTACGCTAAGAATCAAACTCGCTACGCTGCTAATGAAGGATGTCATATTTCACAAAAGAAGGAATTGAGAGGCAGACCTTTGAAGTCATCGCTGTATCAAGCCGAGCGCGCAACAACTTCACGACTGCCTTTTCCGCTTGTTATGGCACCGCGACGTGGACCGGCTTTGGAGAAGAGAAAGCGCGGGACGCGAGCGGCGCTAATCAAGAGGAGAAAACTTATCTGTCCTCGGGCCTCTTTCACAGCTACTGCCAAGAAAAGCAGTCAGACGGCTCTCCCTTCCCCTTCCAAGCCGATTCTACACATCAGAGTAGAGATATGATGCTCCGCGTGCCTCGCCGCCTTCCTCATGGGCCCAGAGGACTTTGGGTCTGGTATATATCGACGATCGCCCACGAAAATGCGATAACTGAGCTTATCGCACTCTAGTTTAGCCCACGACGAACTAATTTGACTAGTCGACAAACTGATTTCAGATGTTGACATCAGAACTCGTGCTCGAATAAGAGTAGGTAAAGAATAGACGCACCTTCAGTGCAGCCATCCTGCTTGATACTGAAGCCCTTAAACTTGGGAACTGCCTTTCAGGTACTCGCAGCTTATCTGCATCCGCAGTATCTCGCGGTCCGAAAACAGCTGTTCGTTTTCCCGCACCGGAAAAGAACAGCGGGAATCGCAACTTCTGTTGTTCGGCGAGAGATGGCGGCACCATCAATTCCTAAAATAAAGATGGCTGCGCCCGCGAACCTAAACCGACGCGTTTCCGCACTCGCCACAAGCGCACGTGAAACCGGTCTGCGGGTGCCTCTGCTGCTGAATTCATGATTTTTACTCCTCGCCACCGCTTCGTCTTTCCCGGTGCGTGTGGACGGTGCGTTGTCGCCGTTGCGAAGCGCAAGCTGTCATGACCTGAAGACCGCACAGGCACGGCATGCCCACGTAGGAGCACTACTATGACGGCCAAAATGGCTAAGAAAAAGCCTGACGCCTCGTCCACGGAGTCCGGCGACCGTCGAAAGTCTGCGGCGGGCTACTTCGACGAACTTGCACGCAATCACCTCAGAACTGTCTTCCTCGTGATCGTGTTGCTCTCTCTGGGCACGGCGCCTTTACAGATCACCGAACCCGACCAGGTCTGGTGAGAACTAGCCCGTGGCTTCGCATGGAGCGATCGAACATTTTGACTCGTGCGCGACATTAGGTAATTCGTTTGCTGAGGAATGTACTTTCGACAAAACCTTGAGCTTACTTTATCACCATGTCGGCCAGAGAACCATGCAACACGTGTGGAGCTGTCCACTTGCAATTAGGTTTGAGCTATTGCAGCGTTGTTTCCATTCGAACATATTGAAAATGCCAGCACTGCAGTATAGCTGACATTTGAACAGACAAACCTGAAATTCCTTTGGCGGTGTATGGTCAGAGACAGGAAATGTATTTTCTCGCAGCGAATGTCAGTTGTATGTGCAGATTTCACTGGGCTTCATGCAGTCTTGTGTGCGCAATTAGTAATGATGTTTTGTCAAAACCTATTAAATGAACTATATTAGGGATACTGCGTACTGTAATGTGACATGCACACACCAATATGCAGTGGTTGTGAAGAATGAGAGTCAGCGTGACCAAGAAGAGTAATTAATTTCTTTCCTCTCATTGCACTTGCCGGCAAGCTGACTGGGTACAATGGAACGTTTCCTTTTGGGAAACCGGGAGATAAGTACGAGGACCACAACTATGCGGGAATGCGCATTGTAAGTACCTCTTGCTCGTTTTAATAATTGAATTGTCCCAGCAGTGGGTCTACTTTGCGATTGCATTGCAGCTAGAAGTAAAAGTCTGTCCATACATTTCTATAACCAATTGCTTTTGAAATGGTTTTTCTGATGTATTTGTATTGCATAGTTTACAGTGCTACTTCATTGCAGACTACCACTCAGCTGTTTTGTGCATCATCGTCCCATTTGTTAGGTATCTTAAAAGCATACGTTCTTCTGCAGACTATCCCGGCCGGGGCGATCGCATTTTCGATGGAGGCGAAAATGCTGTAGGCCGGTGTGCTCAGATTTGGGTCCACGTTAAAGAACTCCAGGCGGCCCTATTTTCCGGAGCACTCCACTACGGCGTCTCTCATAATCATATGTTGGTCTTGGGATGATGACCCCCCAATATAATAATAGTAAAATTCTTCTGCAGGTTCCCCTGATTCTATTTTGTGCACTCAACTGGGTATAGTGTACCCTGAACCTATCATACTTTTGACTGTAAGGCCATAAAATGAAAATGCAGTGAAAACTTCTTGACTGGTGCTGTACAGTAAGCTTGCAGTAATGACAGTTATTGGATTTAGTTGGGTTTTGATGTAACGAACTTACACATAAATTGTTCTTTTGCTGCACTATACTGAAACACCGGGGGAAAACGAAAAGACGGGACACCCATGTGTTTTGACACTTGTGTGTTTCGTCCTGGCGTGTAGTGTAGTCCTGGAGTGTAGCGCAGCAATAGAACGATGCCATACCAACCAGCCTTCACTGAAGCCTTATTAACAAAGAACAGTAGCAGTTTCGATCACGAATGCTATGCGCGTGTTGTTTACCAGTTTTTGAGGCATGATATCATGATAAGCGCTTGCTTCTTCTTGATTCTTTCACGCCAGTTCTGTGCCTTGCTGGGGAGCATGGTTCCACCCTTCTGTTTTGTGATTGTGTGGGAGCTCTCACATTCCCTGCCTGCTGCCGTCCTAGCCTCGTCGTTGGTCATCTTCGGTGAGCAGTTCTGGGAGTCTTGTTCGTTTGTATGCCAATGTAATCTCTTAGATGATATGTAATTGCTATATCTCTGCTCACTGTCTGCATTCAGCCCGAGTTCTAGCATTAGTGCGTGGTCGAATGACACAGTGTATCGTGACGCATTCTGAGTCACTCTTGCACATAGGCTCATTTGTGCATTTGAAGAGTTTCTTTTCAGAATGATTATCGAGGAAACCGCACAAAAAACGGCGATGAAGGGCGATAAAAACAGCACGAACGCATTCTAACAAATGAAACTTTAATTGAAAACGGGAAGAACATGAAGGAAGCAAGTTGTTTCAGTCGTTCATATAAGCTTATGTTTTTCTTGTCTTCCCTGGCCCATGTTTTCGCACAGTTTTCTTGATAACAGAATACTAACTCATGCAACAGTCAATATTTCAAGTTTTGGAATGAGCCAGAGTAAGAAACTGGAACAGGGCTTAAAGATGAATCATGGAGCACACCTAGGTTTCTTTCACGTTCAAAATAATTCTGTTCGAAGGTGGTCAACTGCTGATTCAAATGCCTACGCAATAGTTTATTTTTGAGTAAAACATGAGCCATATCCTGGAACTTAAATGGGTTTTTCCGGGTATGTAGTCTGCGCATGTCTACCTGCCTCGAGGAGGCACGCGCTGGGATTTTTGGTGGCCAAAACGTGACGACACGTGCAAACCAAGCATCATATGGTGCCACGAACAGGCAAATGTATGCCCCCCCAAAGAGAGGCGTGAACGCAGGCCTCCGAAATTGCCCATCGGCATGCGGCGGGCGATTTTGGAGTCCAAGAGCCACCAGTTTTGATTTCGGTGATCTGCACTTGGGGTGCCGTTCGGATTAGGAAAAGGCTCATTGAAGTGAGTTATACGGGCTTTTAACCAATGGGCATGCTCCTTGAGCACCTTGGGACCGAAAAATCTAGCATAGGTGCCTTCCTGTGCTCCCGGCACGGACTAATGCAGGCTTTTTTTTTTTTTTTTTACTAGGGCTGCCTAACTTTCAGTGAAGTCCAAATGTGGCTGCCGTTGCTCTGTCTCTTAGTTACGGGCTCGGTGCACAGTGCAAGACCTTGCCTTGAATGTTGGTTTTCTCTTTTTTTTTTGCATTTGTAGATGTCGGGCTGGTGACGCTGTCTCAGTACATTCTCCTGGACCCCATCCTTATGTTTTTCATCGTCGGCGCCTTCATGAGCATTGTTGTGTTCAAGGCACAGTCAAACAGGTGTGTGGCTTCCTATCATCGCAGTTGTTATTACGTCGACTTTAGTTTCCGTCACCCGTCAAGTTTTGTACAGGCATAACCGTTTTTACTTAAAGTACTTGGGCCAGCAAAGTTAGTTTATATTAGGTATGTTTCATTGTCATGGAGAGCTATCACATCGGTGGGAAACTTCAGATCACTTGAAAGTGTTCGCCCAAACAGCTGCTTACTTTCTGAGATGAATGTGTACTTAGTGCATTCATGTTTTGACAGGATTATATCCTTAATTGTGCAACTGGCTGATACTATTGGCTTTTTTATTTAACACTGTGCTAATGCATGCTTTACAAAGTGTATAAAGAATGGGCATGATTAAATAAAGTTAAGTGTTTGAGCCAGTAGCCATCCGTGTCCATCTGTTTGTTGTGTCGAAAAAAGGAAACAGACTAGCAATTTGCTGCGAACAGCTGATCGGACGAATGTGGCTCATTTAAATGGAAAATGTACTTTCATTCTGAGATGTTCACACGCATATCGCAGTAAAGCTGTGTAATGCAGGGTAGGAGGTTTCCAAATTATTTCATTGAGACCTTTTCCCCCACTCTTTTGTGTTTAACAAGCAAGAAATTAAGAGTTCTTGATCGTTATATTAATGCACCAATCCACCGCACATGCTAGACTGCTGACTTGAATCAAATTTATATGTATCTACAGCACTGCATAATACCCTGCCTAAGCTTAACTTTTCTAAACTTAAAGACATCATTAGTAATCATGCCAGCGGTGCTGGTGGTTCTTAGCTAACATGACTAAATGGATGTGTCATTTCAGGCTGTCAAAAACTTTTATAAATACGAACTTTGGGATAAAATTTTGAAATGAGCAAAACAGTTGTGAAAATTGCCTGATTTGGGAAGGTGTTTGACTTCTGCGATGATCCATTTTTTTGACGATTTCTCATCATTTTTGTTCTGAGAAAGCTAGCTTAGATCGTTCTCGTTGTCTTTCCAGGCCATTTACTAAAATGTGGTGGACTTGGCTAGTGGTGTCTGGTGTTTTCCTGTCTTGTGCAATAAGGTAGGTGCATTGCTTTCCAATAATTTTTTTTCTGTCGCTGCTCTTCAAGTCAGATCAAATTATCAGTGTCTGATGCAACTGTCATGCGCTTGCTTTTCATGGTCATTTCGTTTAAAAGGCCTTTCAACATGTAGTCTGTTATCTCAAAGGCCAAGTTTGAACTGCTGCACGGGTGCTTTTGGAGCGTGTCCAGTCAATAGTCTATTGATTCAATGGAGCACCTCGCAAGTCTATAAAAGCCCCAGTAGCCGTTGAGTGACGGAAGGAGAAATGGCACGAACGTGCCTTCTTGTTTGCAGTGCTAATACTCATGATTAGGCAAAAAAAAGTTAAACCACTGATCTCTAAAATTAGTACACATGAGTGGTATTAATAATGAGTGTTATTTTGCCACTTCAAATGTGGGACCTGCACATGGTCTTGACGATGGCAATATGTCTGTGTTGTGGAAAGTGTGCGACAGCCGCAGTGGGCGGCACAAGTTAAAAACTAAATATATATGTATAACAACATATGAGCAACTGCTTAAAATGTGCGAACAAATAACAGGCATAATAAGGATTTTAAATGAATTTATATTATTTATTATTTTCTGACATGAAACTGAATATGAAGATCGGCAGCCCCTCACGACTTTTGCAAGAAATGCCAGAACCACTCAACAATCATTCAAAACAGCCATACAGCATCGCCGTAGCTCTGTTGTGTTGACAGAGTAGTGGTGTTTGAAAGAACATAGATTGAATGGCCTGTCATGGGTGCCTATTTGATATGTGCATCTGTAATCGATTTCTTTCATATTGCTCTTTTTTAGAGCTTGTGGAACAAAACCTTAGCTAATTGACGGCAGTGGGTTGGTGAAATTAGTAAACGTGATAAACCCTTCTATGCGAATAAAATGTCAAGAAATTAATGCGAATCTTGAAGCATGGTGGATAGAAGTAAAAAGTCGTGTGCGCTTTGCTAAAAAGAATTTCTCATGATTCTCACGACTGTTTTTTTTTCCCGACCAGTGTGAAGTTTGTTGGCCTCTTCGTCATCCTTCTTGTTGGTTTCTACACAGCCTACGACTTATGGGAGCTTCTCGGAGATTTAGAAAAGCCTCTGGTAAACATTTCTTTTTTGTCATTCCAGTGATGCGAGATGTTTGTAGTGGAAAGTGGCACAACATTTGCCGTTACTATGAGCCAGAAGTTTAAGCTCAGTTTCTTCCGGTTTACTTAAAAATGAGCTATACCTGTATAAAATTGTGCCGTTCTGTCACGGCTGTAGGTGATTTCGAGCATGAGCATATCAATAACGAATTCAACTCCTTGAAGCTTTAGTGGCGACAATACGGTATTCTCAGCTCAACTTTATTACGACAGCTCTCTGAGACATAACGTTTTTGTTGCATTTGAATATCTTAACACAGGCTGAATATCTGAGCATTGGCAATTATGTTGTGAAACGTTGCATTTCTTGAAAAAAAAAAATGAAGAGAAATATTTGACGATATGCTATCTGGTGGAGTAGTTAGTTAGGCTGAACATATCAGCATAGCCTTTTCGGTAAAAGCACTTAATTCATTTGATATCTGTCATTTATAGCTGTGTGTGTGTCGTGATTTTAGTTTGCTCGATGACATTTTGGTGCTGTCGAAGCAGTTCATCACAAAAATCCTGAGCACATCACTATGGTGCCGTCTTTCGACATGTATCACAGATGACAGTTCAAATAAAAGTAACAATGTTGCATACTTATTCCAAACTAATTGCACGATGTATGTTTTGCAATTGTGCTTTGAAATGTTTTCTCATCTATGTCATAGTCTTTCTGTGCATTACAGATTATGTTATGTTGTCAGTTAAAGTTACAAGCCTTTCTGTTCATGCGAAAAACCATGATTGGCTTTGTAGTATGCCTTATACATATCATTGACTGTTTTCACCTTTATCGCCTTTCTTTGTTGGTACCGACAGCATGTCTGAATAAATGAACGAAGCAACACCTATGATTGTTGACTTTGTTTTGCATTCTCAGCAAACGCGCCTTTGGTTATTTCTCTTATACACCTTGTTACAGTTAATATAGTGACTGAGTTATTTCACTGCTCTCATAAAGTGCTTCTTCTTGCTTCCACTGTGTGCAGGTTCTGGTGGGAAAGCACTTTGTGAGCAGAGCCCTGTGCCTGATTCTGCTTCCCATGTGTCTGTACATGCTGTACTTCTATGTGCACCTGCATGTGCTGTACAAGAGGTAAGTGCGACTGTGCAAATTACATGTAGTACAGGTTAGTACAAAAAAGAAGCTCCAAACACAGGGTGCCCCAGCTATATTCAGCCAAAGTTTCAAAATAATTTAACACATTTTATGATAGCTTCACTGAACGCATGTTGTTTACTACTGCGTGAAGTAAGTCACAGAATTTTTATGTTCTAATTAATTTTGCAAGCTTAATTAACACACTCTAAATAACCAGCTCTTAAAGCAACAAAGCAGGGCAGAAATTTTCAATTAAAATATTAGAGAGTGGCCTGAAAAATATTTTCTGATTATACAGTTTCTAGCTTTCCAGGTGTATATGTATGTATATTGTTATGACCGCCATCGGTAGGCGCCATGCTGTCGCTGAGAAGCGTAGCCGGGCCACGTTCCCACGCCTGGAACCCAGGTTTTCTTGGAACCAGCGTCGAGAGCTGACGGGGGAGCGGCGCTCTTTTTAATCCTCAAACAAGTAGCCGACTCGCCGGATGCCTATGCCCCGCCAGGTATTGTCCCTGCTAGCCGGCGGATGAGACGTCGTGTCGCCACGAAGCTGTAAGCCGTTCCAGAGGGGACAACAAAGACAGCGTATTCCTTTGAAGAAACGGCGACCGCCGCCACAAAGTGCCCTGCTAATTGAGCGGACAGATTGGCGGACCGTTTGATGTCTGCTGTCCGAAGCTTGGGACCCCTCGACCAGCGACATACACGACGAGCAAGAGCCTCTCTGGCGCCACCTTTAAGTGCAGTGATCTTGACTCGAAATTGGATGTTCACGTGCGCCGTGCATGCTCGTACCCCTCACCTGTTGTGTGTGTGTGTGATTGGTGTTCCACTGAAGAAGGAGGAGCCCGACAGGGCTTATAACGGCGCCGCAGAGTGCAGGACGTCGCTCTGAACCAAGTAAAGGTTCAACCACCACGTTCGTAGTTTGTGAAGGCTCTGAACTGTGTAACGGTTTAACCACCACGCTCGTGGTTTGTGAAGTTTTTTCTATGCTGTAAATATTTGTAAATAGTGCCATAAACCTTGTTTGTTTTTCGTATCCCCATCTTGTAAGCGGTCGTTTCCTCAACCCGAAGCTACACCACGCTACCACAGCACCCCGGGATCACAACAACTGGTGATCAGCGGTGGGATCGCGACAACTGGTGAACAGCGGTGGGATTCGAAGCTACAAGTGACAACAACAGTCGGCCCAGAAGAAGCAGCTGGCTCGAGACATGGATCACGTATGGGTGAGTGCTTGGCTTTTCCTTTGAGTGAACCAGGTTCTAAAAGAGGGTAAATTTTAGAACTGGTAGTTAACTTTGCCGAAAGACTCAGTTTCGCCGTTTCGGAAAGTTATTTTGGAAGTAGCGAGCACTCAGTACGATCATGGACTTACGGGAGCTGCAGAAGTCAGACTTGTTGCTGTTATGTGAGGAATTGGGGATCGATACAAAGGGTTTGGCACGAAAACCCATAATCATTCAAGCGATTAATGATTTGGGGGCTGATGATGAGGAACTAAGTGAAGAATGGGACCTCATCATCGAAAGAAAACTAAGAGCAGCTCAGATGGAAGGAAAGAGTGAACACGAAAGAGAAGGCCTCAAGAGAAAGTTTTTCAAACAAGACTATGAGTTGCGTATGAGAATGGGACCCCAGCGAGGAGTACTTCTCGAAAAGGAGGCAGAGTTCGAGATGTCTAGGTACATGCAGCCATATGAGGTATCATGGGATATGGGCCTGTATCTCAGACTCTTTGAACGAAAGTGTAGTCAACTTAAGTGTGAGCGAGACACCTGGTCTCAGAAGCTACGCACGGTTCTGCCCTGCGAGGCAGCGGACGTTGTTGCGCGACTCAGTGAGCAGCACGCGAACAACTATGAAGTTATCAAATCAGAGCTGATCGGAAAATTCGGAACTTCTGTTAGCAAAAAGAAAGAAAGACTCGCACCGGAGTCTGAAAGCGAGGCGCGTCGCAAAGCGCCGGAAGTTGAGGCGCCTCATAAAGCGCGACAGGAACAGATTGCGCCAGAGAAGGGCCCGCATATTCTCGTATGCATCCATGTAAATGATGTAGAGAACGAGGCCGTGGCCGGTCTGGAGGTGGGGACGATGTCGAAAGACGCTCCTTGCGCGGATGAAGAGGGTGCCAGCAGCCCTAATGGGCCCAGTAAGAGGCTGGAAACCTTCTTCGTGCCTCAGGGGGACCTTTCGACATTGTCAAATTTAGGCATGGTTAGCGCAGTGGCAGATGAGAGCAAGAGCGCCACGCTTCAGCAGAGCAGCGATAACACCGAGCAGGTTTGCAAACATCGCAGAAAAAGGAAGAAACGAAAGCGTTCGGCACTGCCTAAGCATAGGACTAGTCCCACACGGTCCCGCGAAAGACGAAAGGGTAGGCCACTAATCCGTTTAAGGAAACGTCAATGGGGCTGTTCATGGAGGCACAAGCGGCGAGCCAGGTGGGGAGGGAGAAAGGGAGGTGCGTCACCCCCAACGAAGCGCGTGGTTCAGCTCGACGACTTCGGAAAAGCGGCCTTGCCCGAAGGGTCAAAGTCGAAAGGGCAGAGTGGCTAAATACCGCGCAGGGGTGAATACAAAGAGAAAATGGCACAGGCTCCCCCCCAGCTTCTGGCGTCACGTTCAAATTCCTACGGGGAATAGGACGAAGTGCAGAATGAGGCGTGACGGCAGGACACAGCCTAACGTTCGTTTGTTTAGTAGCCTCAGACGTGCAGGAAAACCCCCGGGACCGCAACCCCATCGTGTACGATTAAAGGAACCACGAGAAAAGGGGGAACGGTCAGTTCGAGTAACTTTTGCACGGGCGTGTCAAATATTGTTACTCAGTGTTACATTGGAAATGCAGATTTGAGCCACATTAAATTTGGTAGGTTACGTGATGCGGTGGAAAATTTTCAGAAGGAAAACCGCCGAGCCAAAGGCTGAAAGTCAGCATTGAATCAGTTTAATCACAAGTGCGAAAATTTGCGTAAGGTAAAAACCGAGAAAAAGTGTTATTTTCGAGTGTTTTTAAGGTTTAGTGTTATATCGTATGCCTTCACTGTCAAGTGGATTTGGAGTGAACGAGCATTTGAAGGAAGATGTTAACACAGACCAAGTGATTCGTAAAATGATTAAGTTTGGCGCGACACGGTAGAGTTTCCGTTGCGCGCATTGAGAATATTATTGCACGGTTTTGGCATAAACCTATGCAATTGCTTTTAGGTGTTTTTACCTAGAATTACTTTGTGTTGTACACGTTGTGTTACAACGTAACGTTTGAAAGAATTTAAACAAACTGTGATGGATTAAGCGTTTTGGTACCGTGCACCTTGCAACGCTGTTGGAATGGGAGTAAATAAAAAGCTCAGGCGAGCCCAGTGGTTTTTTTACTCAGAAGCGTTTGCATAAGCAGGTAACTTTAACCAAATGAACCTTCAAGAAAGCATTTGCCGCCTAAGTTTTGTCGATGTTTTCTGCCAAGAATAATCGATTGAGTGATCATATGAGCAGATCAAGCTTTCTCCAACCGCTGATGTAGACCGTTAGGTCACAACCAAGGTTAAGGTTTTGGGAGGCTGATGAGCCAAACGTCTTAAGTAGTAGACGGTTGTTGGCGGCCGAAGACAAAGGCAGACTTTAGAACAATTTTAGCGCTCGCTGAATTCGAGTTCCGGACCGATGCTCTCAGCGGGACAGAACCGATGTAAGTAGTCAGTGATTAAAAAGAGGCAGGCAGCTGTTTTATGTCAGGACGGCAGCTGTAACAAGCAAAGCTGCACTTTACTTGAGCCGGAAATTGGGCTCTAATGAGATAACGTACTGCGCTTCAGGAAAGGTGTGCGCTTGCAATGTGTAGGCCATTCATCAGTTGCAATGTTATCTCAGGGGTACTAAATTTAAAGTAGAGACAGACCAGTGTCTCCTTACTTGGCTGCAAACCGTGACATCAAAGAACAGTTGCCTTGTGAGGCGGAGCTTGATTCTTCGAAAATATCATTTTGGCATTAGGAAAAGGGCAAATTGAATGGAAATGCCGACGTGCTCCGTCGCTCTTTCTACTCTATCTAGGTGTGCTCTTGATGTATCAAAATTGATATTTAAGTTTTTTCGTGCAACTTATTATGTGAAATTTGTAAGGTAGCACGTCTGCTTTCTCAGCTCAAGTGAGTCCTGAGAGTTTTGAGTGTGAGCTTTTGTTAAAGCTAGTAATTAAAATTGGTTTGCTATCCCTCTTTTGGCTTGGTTTGTTCGAGGGGGGGCCGAGTGCTTGCTTGTGCATGTGGTCCAGTTTCAGAAACGGTGTCGAAGATTCGGCAATCACCCGGACCATGCCACAAGCGAAGGCCAGTTCCTGGCATTCAACTACGGACCCTTTCGTCGTCCCTGCGAGCAGCAGTGTTGACCGCTGCCCTCCGTGACTCATCTGGCGAGGGGTAAGCTGTTATGACTGCCATCGGTAGGCACCATGCTGTCGCTGAGAAGCGTAGCCGGGCCACGTTCCCACGCCTGGAACCCAGGTTTTCTTGGAACCAGCGTCGAGAGCTGACGGGGGAGCGGTGCTCTTTTAATCCTCAAACAAGTAGCCGACTCGCCGGATGCCTATGCCCGCCAGGTATTGTCCCTGCTAGCCGGCGGATGAGACGTCGTGTCGCCACGAAGCTGTAAACCGTTCCAGAGGGGACAACAAAGACAGCGTATTCCTTTGAAGAAACGGCGACCGCCGCCACAAAGTGCCCTGCTAATTGAGCGGACAGATTGGCGGACCGTTTGATGTCTGCTGTCCGAAGCTTGGGACCCCTCGACCAGCGACATACACGACGATCAAGAGCCTCTCTGGCGCCACCTTTAAGTGCAGTGATCTTGACTCGAAATTGGATGTTCACGTGCTCCGTGCATGCTCGTACCCCTCACCTGTTGTGTGTGTGTGTGATTGGTGTTCCACTGAAGAAGGAGGAGCCCGACAGGGCTTATAACGGCGCCGCAGAGTGCAGGACGTCGCTCTGAACCAAGTAAAGGTTCAACCACCACGTTCGTAGTTTGTGAAGGCTCTGAACCAAGTAAAGGTTCAACCACCACGTTCGTAGTTTGTGAAGGCTCTGAACTGTGTAACGGTTTAACCACCACGCTCGTGGTTTGTGAAGTTTTTCTATGCTGTAAATATTTGTAAATAGTGCCATAAACCTTGTTTGTTTTTCGTATCCCCATCTTGTAAGCGGTCGTTTCCTCAACCCGAAGCTACACCACGCTACCACAGCACCCCGGGATCACAACAACTGGTGATCAGCGGTGGGATCGCGACAATATATATATATATATATATATATATATATATATATATATATATATATATATATATATATGTATGTATATTGCTTAACGGTAGCAGAGTGTTTGCGAGTACTAATTAGTACAATTTGGTGTGATGGAATACTGTAGCTCCTTGTAATTCACTGAAGAGTACTAGTGGCTGAGGGAACGGCTCCTCCTAGTTATCATGGTGGTCAGAATGCTGCTTACAGAACGTCGCTCTACTTCTCTAAGTACAGTAATTACAGAAATTACTCTAAGTACAGTAATTTAGATAACTTATTTATACCTACTTTTTTTTACTAAAGCTGTTCCTAAAGCCCTATGAGTAAGGATATTACATAAAGTGGGTGGGCTAAGTAAATGGAGATAACTCAAGCCTCGGTATAACGAGCATCAATGTAATGAAATATTGCTTATAACGAAGTCAATGAAAAATAGTCTTGCAATAGGTGCAATGTTAGGAATATACCTCTATAATGAATTTTCAGGCGTAACCAACTTATTTCCATGTAAGTTGCAACCCTGTTATAATTAGCTGTGAGTGTAACCCCAGAAGAAACGAGGTGCCATAAAATGTAAAAAATTCTTGTTGAAGAATTTTTTCTTTCCTCAAGCTCTTCTCTAGAACTTGCACAACGAAGAAATGTTTAGCATGTAAAAGCATAGCAGAAGCTTGCTGTACACTCTATTAACTTTGGAACCTTGACGGTGCAGTGGCAGCGGAGACGGCTTCTTCAGTTCCGAGTTCCAGTCTAGGCTAAAAGGAAACTCTCTGTACAAAGCTAGCATGCCTAGAGGTGAGTGGTCCCCTTCAGCTGGTCATCATTTAGATGGGGAAGGAGAGCTTATGAACAGTGAATTCATGTCTTCTTACTTCAACAGTATTGTCGAAAACGGAAAAACAATGTAAAAACCCATTTATTAACTGCTTTGCTCCCTGTGGAAGCGTGCCTGTGCAAAGTTCACCAGAAAATTCGGCCTACCTGCTCAGTTTGAGAACCGAAAAAAAAAATAATTGTTTAGAAAGCCTCGCCAAGAAATTGTTTTTTGGGGTGTACTGTTCTATTTAAAACAGCACTATGGCTCCGATTCATCTTTGATCATTTTGCTGCGTGTTCAGCAGATCTGAAAGTGCTTTGTTGACGTTATTTCTTTCATGTTCAACATGTTTAGTTTAATGGCTTTCGGTTTAGGTATGTCTGGTTCTAGAACTGAAATTGTTCGCAAGCTTTTGTAGAATATCGTGAACAAATTATCAGTGTTCGCATGCTTTTTAACATTTTTCATGATTTTGTTATCACCTTCTTTGAGCTGGCAGCATAGTTTCATTCAATCGTTAGTAGACTAGTTCAAGTATATGTGAAAAGCAAGCAGAGTATTGAAAAAATTTTGAATACACATTTCTGCGGTTTGCAGTGGTGCTACCTCACAGAGTTTTTAGCCACTGCAGTTTTCGGGCATGTCATTTTTTTGTAACGTCACATGTGCAACTGATCTGATTGGCTACTCAATGTTTGTACTAGGGAATAGAGTGAAAATGGGCATTCTATTTCATTTTAATTATTTTTTTATTGTACATTGCCTGTTTGACTACAAAAAGAAAAAAAGGTACGTTCGAGTCTTCAGTCATTATTCTGGTGGTCCAGGTTCAATGGCTCCTCTCCACGCACACTCCGTAGCTTAGTACGATGAACATCTCCGACTGCAGTAACACTAATAAAGACAAGCAAGCAAAGAAATGAAAAATGTGATGAAAAGAAAAAAATAAACAGTAAGAATAGATGAATTCAAAATCAAGCTATATTTTGTAAAACACAACTGGGAGAGTAGGTGCTTAACAAAGAGTTTTTTTTTTGTTAGGCTTTACACGACATGCTTTTATTCATTGACCATACACTACTATACATTCAAATACAGCACGACCACCATTCATTTGAAAACATAAAAAAAGTCCAACATTGTATTTGTTCAGTTGACACTCTAACCATACAGTTCTAGCAAACTATTCATGTATAAAATCATACATGCCACTCGCACGTGCACCTCACTTTCAGAGGTGGCGTATGGTGCTCAGATCACACTGAAGAACCACCGCACGGGGGGCGCCTATCTCCACTCACATTGGCATCTGTATCCAGAAGGGCTGGGAGCCAGGCAGCAGCAGGTGAGTTGCAGACGGGCATGAATGCGTAATTTAGATAACTTATTTATACCAATTTTTTTTTACTCAGGCCTTATGGATAAAGGATTTTACACAGTGGGTGGGCCAAGTCAATGCGGATAACTCAAGCCTCAATATAACGAGCATGGATATAATGAAATATTAGTTAAAATGGAGTAAATGAACAATAGTCTTGCAATAGGTGCAGTGTTAGGAATATACCTTTATAACGAATCTTCGGATGTAACAAGCTCATCTTTGTGTGAGTTGCAACCTTGTTATAATGAGGTCTGACTGTAACCCCAGATTAACACGGCAGATCTTAAGATTTCATTAAGTAAGGATTTAAAGAAGGAACAGGTCCGAGAAGCAAGTTGCTCGTTTAATGTGAAATATAATTTAGAATAGTGGCCTGAAGGTAGCAGTAGTGAAAATTCACAGTGGAGACAAGCAAGAAATGTTGGTTACATATGAATAACTTGAATAATAAAGCATAGAACAAGATGTTGGTAACACATAGACTAAGCCGCAGCTGGCAAAGCCAAGGCTGCTGTCTCAAACAAAGAAACAAAAAAAAAGAAGCATGGCCAAGCAAATCAAGCGATAGAGGCGGAGGCTTGTAACATTGTTGAATTTACATCAGTTTTTTATGGTTATACATGGTGGTTGTTCATTACATTTTCTGATGATGCATGGTTTCAATTACTGTGGCTGTTTTCTCTTGTTGGCTTCACATTGTGATAAATACTCATCTTGAAAAACAGACACAGCACTAAAAGATGAAAAATATGATCACTTGTCTTTTCATGTCAGTCGATTTTTACCTGTGTCACAGTCTTTCAAGTATCAGTTAGTTTTTATAAAGATAGGCCCATGTGAATACTGGGATAAATAATGCCAACAAATTCACTTCAAACATGAATATGAATTTTATTTAATCTTAAGGTATACAGAGAGGATGAAAAATTACCAGCTGTGAGCAGGAATCGAACCTACGACCTTCGAATAACGCGTTCGATGCTGTAACCACTGAGCTATCACAGCGGCTATCACAGAGGAGAGGTCCGTGGTTCAAATCCCGGTACCGCGCAGTTCCCAACCGGATTAAAAAAAAAAATCCGCGTGTTGATGGAACTGCATTAAGAGGCCTGGGGTGCGGCCTCACCGGCAAACACCGCCGAGAACGCACTCCCTCACCAGAGAAGGATCGGCCACCCTGGTGCAGTATCTGGCCACTACCTCCCACATGATTACGTCAGGCTGCGGCGATGGCGTAGTGGTTAGAGCATCCGCCTCGCATGCAAGAGGTCCGTGGTTCAAATCCCGGTACCGCGCAGTTCCCAACCGGATTAAAAAAAAATCCGCGTGTTGATGGAACTGCATTAAGAGGCCTGGGGTGCGGCCTCACCGGCAAACACCGCCGAGAACGCACTCCCTCACCAGAGAAGGATCGGCCACCCTGGTGCAGTATCTGGCCACTACCTCCCACATGATTACGTCAAATAACTCACGGCCCTCAGTCCCCAGCAGCTGCGAAGCAACTGACCACGGCGGCGGTCAGATCTGCAACGCAGCAGAGGGTGCTAAGAATCTCTGGATCCGGACAGGCCGCCATTGGAACCTGAACTTGGCAACGTTTAACGCTAGAACCTTATCTAGTGAGGGAAGTCTAGCTGTACTATTCGAGGAGCTAGAGGGTGTTAAATGGGATATAATAGGGCTCAGTGAGGTTAGGAGGACAGATGAGGCCTATACGGTGCTACAGAATGGGCACGTCCTTTGCTACAGGGGCTTGGCAGACAGGAGAGAACTGGGAGTGGGGTTCCTCATTCACAGAAACATAGCTGGCAACATAGAGGAATACTATAGCATTAATGAAAGGGTGGTAGGTATCGTAATTAAACTGAATAAAAGATACAAGATGAAGGTAGTACAGGCTTACGCGCCTACATCCAGCCATGATGACGCTTCAGTTGAAAGCTTCTATGAAGACGTGGAATCGGCAATGAGTAAGGTAAAAACACAGTATACTATAGTGATGGGCGACTTTAATGCAAAGGTAGGGAAGAAGCAGGCTGGAGACCAGGCAGTAGGAGATTATGGCATCGGTACTAGAAACGCCAGAGGAGAGCTACTAGTAGAATTCGCAGAACGCAATAAATTACGGATTTTGAATACCTTCTACCGAAAACGAGAAAACCGCAAGTGGACATGGAGGAGCCCTAATGGCGAAAATAAGAACGAAATAGACTTTATAATGAGTGCACACCCTGGAATCGTGCAGGATGTGGAAGTGATTGGCAAGGTACGATGCAGTGACCATAGAATGGTACGGTCTCGAATTCGCCTAGACTTGAAGAAGGAACGACAGAACTTGATACGCAAGAAGCCAATCAATCAGCTAGCACTGAGAGGGAAAGTACAGGAATTCAGAGTGTCACTGCAGAACAGGTACTCGGCTCTCAGTGAGGAAACCAACCTTAGCGTAGATACAATGAATGATAATCTGACGAGTATCATTATGGAGTGTGCAGTGGAAGTTGGAGGCAGGGTAGTTAGACAGGACACTGGCAAGCTTTCACAGGAAACGAAGAACCTAATTAAGAAGCGTCAAATCATGAAAGTGTCAAGTACAACAGACAAAATAGAACTGGCAGAGCTTTCGAAGTTGATTAATAGACGTAAAGTATGCGATGTAAGAAGGTATAACATGGAGAGAATTGAACACGCTCTGAAAAACGGAGGAAGTGTCAAAGCATTGAAGAGGAAACTTGGGATAGGCAAAAGTCGGATGTATGCACTAAGGGACAAAGAAGGCAAAATAACTACCAATATGGATAGGATAGTTAAGTTAGCGGAGGAGTTTTACAGGGATCTGTACAGTAGCCGAGACAACCACGACCTTAATACTATAAGAACTAGCAGTAACCCAGATTACACCCCACCAGTAATGATAGAAGAAATCAGAAAAGCTTTGGAGAGCATGCAAAGGGGCAAAGCTGCTGGTGAGGATCAGGTAACATCAGATCTGCTGAAAGATGGAGGACAGATTGTGTTAGAAAAACTAGCCACCCTGTTTACGAGGTGTCTTCTGGCGGGAAGAGTACCAGAGTCTTGGAAGAACGCTAACATCATCTTAATACATAAGAAAGGAGATGACAAGGACTTGAAGAATTACAGGCCGATCAGCTTGCTCTCTGTAGTATACAAGCTATTTACAAAGGTAATTGCTAACAGAGTAAAGAAAACATTAGAATTCAATCAACCAAAGGAACAAGCAGGATTTCGAACAGGCTACTCAACAATTGACCACATTCATACTATCAATCAGGTAATAGAGAAATGCTCAGAGTATAACCAACCACTATACATAGCCTTCATAGATTACGAGAAGGCGTTTGATTCAGTAGAAATATCAGCCGTCATGCAAACACTGCGGAATCAGGGCGTAGATGAAGTATATATAAACATTCTGGAAGAAATCTACAGGGGATCAACTGCTACCATAGTGCTTCATAGAGAAAGCAACAGAATACCAATCAAGAAGGGTGTAAGGCAGGGGGACACGGTTTCCCCAATGCTGTTTACCGCGTGCTTGCAGGAGGTTTTCAGAAGCCTAGAATGGGAACAGTTAGGGATAAGAGTCAATGGAGAATACCTTAGTAACCTGCGCTTCGCCGATGACATTGCATTGCTGAGTAACTCGGGGGACGAATTGCAACTCATGATTACGGAGTTAGACAAGGAGAGCAGAAAAGTGGGTCTTAAAATTAATCTGCAGAAAACGAAAGTAATGTACAACAACCTCGGCAAAGAGCAGCGCTTCGAGATAGGTAATAGTGCACTTGAAGTTGTAAAAGACTATGTCTACTTAGGGCAGGTAATAACCGCAGAGCCGAACGACGAGATTGAAGTAACTAGAAGAATAAGAATGGGCTGGAGCACATTCGGCAAGCATTCTCAAATTATGACAGGTAGATTGCCACTATCCCTCAAGAGGAAGGTATATAACAGCTGTATCTTGCCGGTACTTAGCTACGGAGCAGAAACCTGGAGACTTACAAAGAGGGTTCAGCTTAAATTGAGGACGACGCAGCGAGCAATGGAAAGAAAAATGGTAGGTGTAACCTTAAGAGACAAGAAGAGAGCAGAGTGGATTAGGGAACAAACGGGGGTTAAGGATATCATAGCTGAAATCAAGAAGAAGAAATGGACATGGGCAGGGCATGTAGCGCGTAGACAGGATAACCGCTGGTCATTAAGGGTAACTGACTGGATTCCCAGAGAAGGGAAGCGGGTTAGGGGGAGACAGAAGGTTAGGTGGGCAGATGAGATTAAGAAGTTTGCGGGTATAAATTGGAAGCAGCAAGCACAGGACCGGGTTAACTGGCGGAACATGGGAGAGGCCTTTGTCCTGCAGTGGACGTAGTCAGGCTGATGATGATGATACAGAGAGGACAGACGTTTCCCTCTGCATGCAACATTCTTGCATAGGCGGTTTCACTGTAGCAAAGCCACAGTTCACACTTTAATGTAAATCTTAATCTCGACACCAGACAGGCAGGGAAGTATGCATAGTCAGCAGCCTCATTTGCCTCGTTAGGTGACGACCTACTCTCACAAGGACGACAACAACAACTGGATCATCAAGAAGTATGACCAGGAACCCAATCCTAAGAACAAAACGGTTGAGCTGGTTCGCAACGGCGACCTGATACGTCTTGAGCATGTGGTGTAAGTATAATTATTGCCATTTTTACTTCATTTTTTATTGAAATGCCTTTTTGATAATTTATTTTAATTTTTATACTTATGAGCCATTATTGAAAAGTTATACAAATCACAAGAATGCTTTCGTGATACTGAATCATTGCTGTGAGAATGGTTTATTTACTGTAGATTCTCATTAACCATTAACTGATGTGTTAAGAGCGCACTGTTACAAAAGCCGGCGACGCCAACACTGTCCCGAAGGCGCCACTGCTTCGGACTCCGCCGGGAAGGTCACCAGCCGTTTGGTAGCGTAGGTTTCTCAGCTCGTGACTGCTTCTGCGCAGAGCTGATAGACGAGCGGACGAGACGACGGTGAGTTAAACAATGTTTATGTACAGCATATATACAGAGGCGTTACCAATTCGGCACTGCCGCCGACAACTTAAGAGACTCGGACAGCCGAGCTCTCTCCTCTTACACATAGGTCTACTGCTCGCGACGCGCCGCAGGGCTTTCTTTATATGTGCCGGGTGGATTCTTTGAGTAACCAAATGTCCAACCAGAAGCGCCGCTGGGCTGCGTCATTCTCATCGAATCTGGAGCCACTGCGCTGCACGTGGCTGCACCCGAGGATGAGTGACGTCACCACGCATTGCGTCAGACTCGCCAGACAGGAAGGCGTCGATTGCTTCGACGGGCTCGCTGGCTGAGGTGACTCACTGTGCGTGCGCGGCAGAAAGGCACCGCCGCGTGATGACGCCGTTGAGTTCGCGTCAGGCGGGCTCGCGGGCTGGCCTTGACACAGATTGCCTCTTTCAGAGGCATGGCCGTTCGCTGTGGACTCGCAAGCATAACAGCACCCCCGTCGCCAGACAATGTGCCGAAAAGACTAGCTGCTTCCACATGGCTCGGATGTCAGGTGCGCTCGTTCGCTAGGTCCCTCCAGGTTCGCCTCCAGGGCCATGGGGAGAATGCAGCTCCAGACTGTTCCGGAAACACATCCCATTCTTGAGGACGGATCCCAGCTCCACTGGCTTGTCACCACAACTTGTCGACCAACTTCGCTCGTCTCTTCTGACGATCTTTGGTTTCAGCACTTGTCGATGGTTCTGCAACTTGTCAAGAACGGTTCGACAACAGAGAACACACGACACAAGCAAGTGCCCTCGGTCACCCGACAGAACACCAGATAACATATAGTACATCATATACCTAGCTACGTGTCTATTGGAATTTCGTTCCTTTTACACCAAGAGGCACATGTGGGACACAAGACTCTTAAAATGATAACTCAATTTTTTTTACACGTACAACACCGTAACGAAATAGAATAGAACATAAAGTTGGCTCCTTGAGCTCATTCTGGATGAGAGCGCTCAGCTAAGGCCGTGATGAGGACAAAATTTGGCCCCGAATCGCCAGCGAGAAACCGAAAGGTGGAGAAGGTACTAACTAAACCCACGGCTCAATGCGTCTGCATTAGCGTTTAGCTCTCCTTTCTTGTAGCGAACGTCATAGTTGTGCTGTTGGAGTATCATGTTCCACATCAGTAACCGGCCATTTTTAGGTGACATGTTATTCAACCAGGTTAGAGGACAGTGGTCCGTTTCGACCACAAACCTCGAACCGGAGACATAACAGTCTAGCTTTTGAGTGGCTCACACGAGGCAAGCGCATTCCTTTTCAGAGGTACTGTATGCCACTTCACTGCCGCTGAGTTTTCGACCTAAATAGAAAACTGGCCTTTCGTTACCAGCACTGTCTTCCTGGCACAATACAGCTCCCATGCCGCGATCACTCGCGTCGCATTGAATCACAAATCTCTTAGAAAAATCGGGTGCCGTGAGAACGGGCTCTTCGCTTAGGGTTTGTTCTAGCTGGCAAAACGCATTCTCCTTTTCTGAGTCCCATACCACTTTAAACGGCTCAGATTTTCGAAGTGCGTCAGTTAGAGGGCTGGCAATGCTAGAGTAATTTTACACGTAATGCTGATAGTATCCAGCCAGGCCCAAGAATGCCCTTATCTCAGATTTTGTGGTTGGTCGTGGATAGTTCACGACGGTGGCTACCTTAATTTCTGAAGGTCTACGCCGGCCACGCCCCACAACGTGCCCCAGGTAAGACACCTTGCCGCACCCTAGGTGACATTTAGTAGGTTTCGCGGTAAGACCAGCTTCTTTCAACCTGTTCAGCACGACGCGTAAATGCTCGACATGTTCTTCCCAGCTGTTTGAGAAGATGGCGACATCGTCAAGATATGGCGAGCGAACTCAGAGAGGCCTTTAAGAACGTGGTCCATTAAGCCTGAAAAACAAAAGGGCGCATTTTTCAATCCAAAGCTCAGCTTAAGTGGACGATATGTTCCAAATGGAGAAACAAATGCGGCATAGCGGCTAGCACGTTCCGTAAGGGGGGCTTGCCAATACCCTCGCACGAGGTCTAACGTGGAAATATAGCTGGACTGTGACAAAGTTTCCACCCTCTCCTCTAGGTTTGGTATCGGGTAAGTTTGGTCTTGAGTTATGGCATTAAGACGCCGATAATCGATGCATGGCCTCGGATCTTTTCCTGGCACTTGAACCAATATTAGAGGGAATGTATAGTCACTCTCGCCTGGTACTATAACTTCCAACTCCAGCATTTTATCAATCTCTTTCATGATCTGCTTTTGCACAGGGGAACAACGATGCGGCTTGCTACAGATTGGCTCCTCACAAGTTAGCTCGACATCACGTTCGATCACCGTCGTGTTTCCAGGACGGTCAGAAAACATGTCTTGAAACTCGGAAACAATCCTTCTCAGGTCCTCCTTCTGGACTTCACTTAACCTAGGCTCTAGGTTCAACTGCTCCAAGATTACCTCTGATCCCCTTTCGATTACATCACTAGAACTCAAAATTCCTTCTCCCTCTACCTCTGAAGCATTCAACAGCAGATTTACGACCGCTTGACGTTGAACGTATGGTTTCATCAAGTTACTGTGGTAAATTTTGTTTCGCCGCCTTCCTAGTTTCACTTCATAATTGGTATCAGAAAGCTTCGATATTACTTTGGCGGGCCCTTCCCAATAAACCTCAAGCTTGTTCTTTTTGGACAGCCGCAGCAGCATTACTTGACTACCAACTTCAAACGTGCAACTTCAAATGTGCGCTTCTTCGCCGATTTGTCATAGTGCTCCTTCGACAACACTTGTGCAGCCTTCATGTGGCTTTCCCCAAGATCTTTCGTTTTTCCAAGCCTCTGAAGGAGGTCTAGAACAAACGCAACTACATTAGGGTCCTCATCGAATCTCTCCCAGGACTCTCGTAGCATTCGCAATGGTGTTCTCAAACTCCTGCCATACACAAGCTCTGCAGGGCTAAAACCAGTGTTCTCATGAGGAGCTGATCTCAAAGCGAACATAGCGGGAGGAATACACGCTTCCCAGACGCATTTGTCCTCGTAGCAGAGAGCTCTCAGTATCCGTTTCAGAACAGAATGCATACGCTCAACCGGATTAGATTGCGGGTGATGAATCGAGCTGTGCACTACTTTTATTCCACATTTATCCAAAAAGGTAAAGGTAAGGCAGCTGGTGAAGACACTATCATTGTCGCATTGGATTTCAGAAGGAAATCCGACGCGTGCAAATATAGATAGCAGTGCATCCACGACATGAGGAGAATTGAGCTCCTTAAGTGGTATTATCGGTTCCGGAAATTTTTTGGCTACACAGAGAAATGTCATTATGTATCGACAACCTTGCCTTGACTCTGGCAATGGCCCGATGATATCAATTACTAGGCGCCGAAAAGGTTCTGTGATAATTGGCACAAGCTTCATGGGTGCCTTCCACTTGTCCGTGGATTTCCCCGCTCTCTGACAAGTGTCGCATGAGCGTACAAAGTCTTCGATATCCTTCCAGCATTTCGGCCAATAAAACTCAAGGGAAACTCTAGCCTTGGTTTTTTTTATGCCGAGATGCCCTGCCCATGCGTTTTCATGCGCCAGTTCCAATAGTTGACGACGATACTTTTGTGGCACTAAGAGCTGCTCATACTTGCGACCTTGCGCATTTGTGTAGCTCCGATACAGGAGCCCTGCTTTCTTAAAGAAAGAAATATTCTTTTTTTTTCCGAAGTTTGCGCTTTCCATTAGCGTTTTAATCGAAAAGTCCTCACGCTGCTCTCGAATGAGTGTTTCTGGATCAACCCTTGACAGCTTACTCCAACTTTCCGCTACAGGTGAGAGCGTTGCACCCCCTTCGCTCTGACTCAATGGCGCCATGTCGTCTCCCCCTGCTACGGAAACCGCGCCGGTCGCTTCGGCGACGGGCCGCTCGAGCGACTGCTCACATGACTCACACGGAGATTTCCTCTCTGAGGTTCTGTCGACTCGCCGCCAAGGTCACTTGATGGTTTACCGCATTGAACAAAATCAAGCTCCTGCGAAAGCTTCCGTGCTTGTGATCGCGTGAGGGCCATGTACGCTAAGTAAGGGAAGAAGGATTTTCCCTGCTCTTTGAGAAGCTGCTCTAAGTTGTTAGAGAAAAGATAAGGAAAACGATCGGGAAGCGCGGCAGACACAGCCGCTTCGGTGCGAAGCTTATCGAACGGGCCTTCAATGACAACCGTAGCGATTGGTAAGCAAGCACTCTGCTCTTCGGCGACTTGCCTGATCCACGCGCATTCTCCTGTAATTTCATTCGGAGACACGAATGAAGGATGGACAACGTCCATGGTTGCCGCTGAGTCACGAAGTGCTCGACACGTTTTCCCATTCACACTAATTTCTTGGATATACGGCTCTAACAACCGCATGTTCTTTTCCGATTCTCGGATTGTTGCAAAAGCAAACTTTTGTTTACAGTTTATCGCGATGTGCCCTTCCTTTTTGCAGTTGTAGCAGATTAGCTGCTTCCGTGATTCAAACGCCCGTGTGGTATCAGTGCGTTGTTCAGGAACCTCACTCGATTTCTCCGCTTCAGTTTGCCCTTCCCCTACAGTGTCCTTCGTAAGAGACGGGTCCTTCTTGAAATTATG